ATGAACTTTAAGACTGACCATAGTTGAAGGCACACTTGAACAAACGGTGTGTCTCGCTATAGTGGAACCTTCTAGAACAATTCAAAGAAGTTATTAATATGCAACATTCAGCTACGATTTAGCGGAAGTCAACAAGAATCTGTAAAAATGATAAATGCTCTTTTTTTTAACACGCCTTCTTTGGCTTCCGAGATTGGTTGTGAAAATACAACTCCTCCTTTGAAACACACCGTTACTTAGAATCTTATCACTTTTAACTCCTTAGATTTTCCCTTTCGACAAAAGTTATTTCGTTGCTTTGCCACGCATGTTAACAGTACTTCGAGATCTTGTGACAATCCAGGAAAGGCCATTCCTTGGTACAAATGGAAAATAGACTAAAGTTGCACTCTATACTATCATCACTTAGAACGGATCAGCTAAGCTCCAACGGTTCTGTGGATGGAATCCTGAAACAGCGCAAGTCACTGTCTCTAAAGTTGAGCATGTGCCCAAAGCCTACCGCTGTCCGCAGAGCTGAGCACATCGGTTTTGCAAGGAGAAACTTTGCAGCATGATGGCTGGAAAATGTGAAGGTTTCAATCATAGTTTGTGTATGTAGAAATGCATGCGAAAACTTCTTCTATTCTGTCGAAAAATGTAAGCGAAATTTAATAGAAATTTATGGTACAAGAAAAGACGCCTTTCCACGCCTTCTAGAAACTTCTGCTAAATTTCTCCCTATTCTAAGCGCAGCCCTTGGAAGCATAGATCTTTTTTTCGAAGACAGTGTTCCAATTAGTTTCAGATTTTCACAAACTGTAGATAACCATTAGATGTGAGGCCTTAGAGGTGTAGAAGTGGTGATAAAGGTGGACATAGCTTGATTATGTGTAATATAACTCAAGCTTGGAGCGGTCATGTAAAAAGCAAAAAATGTGTTTATTTGGTCAGCTTTGCATTTTTGTATTTATTTCGATTTTTCTTCAATGAGTCGAAAACCAATGTAGCATGTGATAGCATATTGACAAAATTGCATTCGCGTTGAGTTCACAAGATCGTTTAGAGTAAAGCGAGATACTACCACTTTTG